TATTATTGTTTTCTATTTTACATTAAAAAAAAAAAAGAAAAAAAAGAACACATCTTTCTCTATCCTCCGAACTCCAACACCATCTAGGTTTCTCATTTACCACTTTAATCAACTGAAAACTGGGAATAACAAATAATCGATTCCTCTAAAACTGCATCCATAAAAGCAAGTATGAGCTTCAGGTTCTACGGTGAAGCATTAAATCAAACACCTTGTGCACAAAACACAATAGCACACCCATTAACAAGAAAGTAAAATGAAAAATAAAATCAAGAGCAATTGGCTTGAAAAATATACCTGAGAGCAGAAGGATTGATATCTTGAAAAGCAACAGTTTTATCATCCTGCATCAATCGATTAGCGAAGTAATTTTGCTGTCGAATTTTGAAGAATCACATTTGCAGAAAAATGAAAAATGGAGAATAACATGTGAAAAAAATACCTGGTGGAGAAGGGTATCGGAGGTTGAGCCGGCGATTTTGCAGAAAATACACGACGACGGTGGTGGAGCCGCCGCCATTGCTCGAGCTAGGCAACTGCTCCGAGTTATTTCATTTTCGATGTTATTTTTATTTTTCGTTTTTACGAAGAATATACTTCTTCTGCAGCTACTCGTTCGATCACTTATCAGCAAATGGGCAAGCAGGGAATAGCTTCATCGATTGGTAAGGGATAAATTATCACGTACAAATAAATTTGGAGTGGGATATTATAAGTTTTGAATTACATTTATTCACCAATTAATAATACTAGTACGTGGCCCGTGCACGGGGAAATAATATTATGATTGTATTATAAATTAAATATATACATAATATTAATCATGATTTACCCATTGTTTTTAAAATTGGACCAGACCGGATAGTACTCTGACCGGATAGATAGGGAATTGGTTTATCGACCAGTCCGGTTCGCTTGAATAAAATGTTGGCTAGCAAACCGGTCAACACCAGTCCATCAAAAATATCGATATTTTTGAAATAAATTTTGTTACATTTAAAATTATTTTTAATATAAATCAAAATACATATTTAAATAAAATGTAGATTTATAAATCATTTATCATTTAGTTTAAACATTGAATACTTTTAAATTATTTAAAAATTTAAGTAAAATTTTGTATATATATTGAAACATTGAAAACTTAGTTACCTCCCATGAAAAGAAACATAATTTTCTTCTCATATTTATGATATATGTTCATAGAAATGAGATTTTTATGCATACACGTTTCATATGTTTGGGAATCTTAAGATCGTTTAGATTCTCTTAAAAAAATCTATCCATATTTGCATTTTTAAACTCTTTTTGGATTAAAAGTAATGGCGCCATTTGACATATTTGCAATTTTACAGATTAATCACAATGTCCCATTATGATTCTTTTGTTTTGTCATGTTTTTATTATAGTTACAAAAGTTCCTTAATTATCATGAGTTTTATTATGATTTTAATCATGATCTTATGGGATTTTTTTTAACTAAATCGATGTTATGAGATAAAACAAATCTATATTTACCTTTGACTTTTCCAACAAAGGTAAAAAATCGGTTATGATTTATATCACATAACAAATCTTTAATGTCAAGACTATAAATACCAAAACAAATCTGTAATTAATGTAATTTTATTTTCAGCAAGTATTAATTAACTTTGATTTTTCTGCCTACTATTTCTAGTAAATAAGATGTCTTTTTATATAAGTATAGATTAAAAGAAATGGATAAACATTGTATATAAATTGGAACCATCATTCTTGTTTAATCACTTTTTTAATTGTTTATTAATAACAAATATAATTTGTAGTTTCTAAAATAATTATAATTACTACATGAAAAAATATCAAAATAGACATGCATAATTGTATGTAATTTTGTGTGTAAACAATTAATATCAAACTGCTAATTTAATAGAATCCGCTAACAATTTAACTGCAAATTTTACTAAAATTTCAGGTGAAAAGCCAATTATACCTTTTGCATATATTTAAATCCAGCAAAAAGGAACACATGATTCATGATATTTTATTTGGCAATCCATAGTAGTATAGTACATGACATTATTACAAGCACGAAAACACACATACCTTCAGAAATGTGATGTGGCACTGTTTTGATAAGGACGTGTTTGGTGGTACTTATAGCCTTTAGTAGGTGCACCCAAAACTAAATTGTACAAGTGCCTTCAAAGTTCAAACCCCCTTTTTCTTTTAAGTCTTTTTTTTTTTTTTTTT